ATGTCGTTATTCCAGAGCACGGGAAACTCGACCTTGAGGCCATCGGTGTAACATCGAAAAAGGCGCAACACCCGCCTACGAGGGCGGGCCACCCTGTTCATCCTGATTATACTACAATCGTCTCTATATACAATGCTGACTATGCCAAGGTTAATATGCTGATTCAGCGGGAATTTTACGAGGTAATTGTAATATTACGCCCGCCGCTCCGACATCGACGATGATTGTGTAACGCTCTAGCCTGCCGGGAATACGTGGTGGAGGTTTTGTTTCCTCGGCGGGGGTTGGGGGCGGCAGCCCCCCCCAGGGGAGTCGCAAGGGGCACAGCCCCCTGCAATGGAAAGTTATGTGAATAACCATGGTTATTTTCACAGTGCGTTATATTATTAATGCTATTTAACCCTGCATTTTCCCTGGAACCTTCCATGCCCTCCCCTGCTATCGGGGCCAAGTTTGTCGCTAACGGGGGTTTCCGCGCAATAAAAACTATATATTTGCAATGTGGAGAGTGAGAGGAATCCAACGATACCAAAATCGTCGATATCGGTTATACGGACGTAATATAGAAAATTACCCAAGGTAATTTTCTATGGTACGTCAAAATCGTCGATATCGGTTATACGGACGTAATTTAGAAAATTACCATGCATTCTAGTATAATGTAGGCCTATAATTTTACGAGAATTTGTGTGGATTTTATTCTTGCTAGTTTCATGTGAAATTTGCATTTCTTCACTATGTCCGCATTGTGATATCTGTTTGCCACCATATTACTTACATCAGGTGTAAAAACAAACCCAAAATTTTGCTTAGATAGATTTTTTGACGAGATAACACGTGATGACATCGTCTTCCCAGAAGATACTAGTGTTCTGACCACTGGTAAACTTTACCATGGTAACTCCAATGACAAGTTGTTAGTGAAGACCACCGCTGTCTGTTTACCAGGGTAACTATAATTACCAGTGATTTTACCATCGTAAGTGCGTTGGTGAATCCGGGCCCAAAACAGTACGAATATCTCGTCAGGGATAACTGTCTGACACAGATGTAAGTTTGGCGCAGAACATTTATATATAATATATATATATATATATATATATATATATAATATATGTGTGTGTGTGTGTGTGTGTGTGTGTGTGTGTATGTGTGTGTGTGTGTGTGTGTGTGTGTGTGCGTGTGTGTGTGTGTGTGTGTGTGTGTGTGTGTGTTTGCGTTTATTTACACACACATTCTTTCTCTCTATCTCTCTCTATCTATATATCTCTATCTATCTATCTATATCTTCATCTCTCTCTCTCTCTCTCTCTCTCTCTCTTTCTCTCTATCTATCTATCCATATATTCATATATCTGCCTGTCCATGTATCTACCTGTCTATTTATCTTTCCCTCTATCTATCTCAGAGATTATTCCCATGCTATGTGTTAGCGGAATCTCGTTCGCGTTGATCGGTATGTTATCTTACTCTTAAAGTTATATCGTTTACCAAACACTTTGCATCTGCCATTATTCGCACCTCGTCTCTTTTGTTTTCTAGACCTCAACCCGTTACTCTTTGTCAGTTTCATCTTCTCATGTTTTCCTTTCTTCTTTTCTTACTTACGCATTCTGCATGGAATATTTCACCGTTTTCATGTTTGTTGATATTTCTTTTCCTTTTCTTTTCTGGAATACCTGGCTTGCGATCGGAAAGAAAGGCGGAATTTCGATTTACAGTTTGTAAGTCTACAACATCAGATGTGTACATGAGCATCCACGCGTACGCACGCACACGAATCCATACAAACATGCTTATGTGCACTCAAAAGAAATACACAGAACTGGATGAATATTTTGCAAGCCTTTGTGATGCACAGACATTTTAGAGGCCTATAATTAGATTAATATTCACAAATGAAATAACTTCTCTTTTAACCGCTGAGGCATTACCTCCGCCTGCATATCTTGGACGAAGGACACAAGACCTTTCGATTGTTTATATATTCGTCCATTTTTCCGGCTTTATTCTATCCTTCTTTAGGGTAACTTTTTCAAGCTGCGAGGAGAGTAAAAGTTCTTGAAATTCTATGAGCGGATACGGTTTTATGCGATGTTTCCGCAAAATGGAATATTAATCTTTAATGGAATAGACTTCTTACCAACAGCGAGGAGTGGGTTAAAATTATGTGGCCATTACATTAATTGAAAACACTCGTGTCAAGTCACAAAATGCGCGCGAGTGTAAAGAATTGCGTGCGAATTGAATTGAAACGAAGCTTCCGGTATCGCACATGTACCACATTTCTCCTCTAAACATATTACTCTTCATGTAATAAGGAGAAATTGAAATACAAACGTAGTATCATCAGAATTTTCCTTTTTTTCTTCTTCATTATATTCCATTTTTATTCCCGGTCTAATGTCACCTAAAGCAGTCACGTGTCCGACTGCGTGAATCCCGTTTCCTCTCTGAAGCATTTTCGGTCCGAGTCGAAAGCAGAGAAGTTACCTGGCAA